GCGGGGAATTGAAACTAGATTCAAATTAGCAGAGAGCAATGATGATGGTTTGCATTGCCATCCAAAAGGATTACTATCGATTTTCTATCAGAAGGCTCATCCGTGGGGTTCAAGGAAATTAATTGAACTTCCACAAGATGAATTGAAAAAGGCTCACTAGTACGTCTTGAATAAATGTGAAGAGCTGTAACCTTTTCTACAGTGAGTCTCTTTTTAAGTTTTGTTTAAAACCTAAAAATAAACAAATGTTTTCAATTGTATAAAGTTAATCATTATAAGTTATAACCATATTTCTCTCTCTGATTTATGTAACAAACGGAGAACACTTAAGAGAGTTGGAGGCCCGAAATTGTGATAACATATTCAAAACACAAGAACAGTTATTTCCTAAATGGTTTGAAGATCGTGTAAGTAAATCTTAATCGTTTAAAAAACATACAAAACAATGTTTAACATGTTTTAAGTTATCTCATTGATTTGGAACCGATGTTTTTGTGTAGATGAACACCTTGCATGTTGAAAGGTGCAATGATACAACCAAGCAACTCTATTCCTTACCTTATGGTCTTGATTTTTGTGTTGATTTTTTTTTTAACAATTGTATTGTCAATGGAGTGTGTTTTCATAACAATGATCAATCACATTGTCGAGTCACACAAAATAGTGGAGTGATGGTTCTGGTTCCAGGGGAACATGATGGTGAACTAATTGAGTTTTATGGTGTATTAAGTGGCGTGTTAGAGCTGAATTATGTTAATGGATTTTGGGCTATATTCTTCAAGTGTAATTGGTTTGCCACATATGCAAAAAATAAGAGGATACAAAAAGATTATTATCTCACTTGTTTTAATGTTGGCAAATTGTGGAATGAAAATGACCATTTCATACTTGTAATTCAAGCTTAACAAGTATTCTATGTTGATGATTACAAACTTGGGACTAATTGGAAAGTGGTTCGAAAAGCTCAACATAGAAACGTATGGGATGTACAAGAGATGGATAACACAATTGAAAAAGAGGAACATGTTGAGCATGTACAAGAAGATGAGTTTGATAGGGGACATTTCATTAGAAATGATGTTGATCCAGACTTGGTTGACGCAACAATTAGACATGTTGGAGCTGAAGTAGTGGGCAATGATGTTGATGTTGATGTTGAAGAAGAAGATGAAACATTGATTGATTATTGTATTGATAATGAAGATAATTTAATGAGTGATTCTGATAACAACTTCTGATGGTACGAATGTATACTTATATGTACTCTTTACTAATTATATGTATGATTAAATATAGTTATTGATCTAATTTCCTGAGATTGAATGTGTAAAGTGAATTAAATTTCACCAGTTGTTTTTTCTCTTATCTGATGTTTGCATATTCCGAAGATGACTCCTAGTGCAAGACCCTAGCTTAGAAATGCAAATGATGTTGAGATGAATTAGAGTTCTTAACCAACTCCTAAAACTGCTGCAAACGCAGGTAAAATAATGATATTGGTTAACTTAATTATACTGAAATATATACTTAGATTTCATATATTGTCTACAATGTTTGCTTAACATTTAAGAATCCATTATAGTTTACAAGCATGTCAACAGTCCTTGTGGTAGCATATTATTAAGTTATAGAGATTATTTGAATTTGTAGGTGATATTGTGGCAAAGAACGTGCGAGGGAAGACTAAAGGAGTCGGAGACTCGTATAAACAGTCAATTCGAAGTTGCATGTACACTTTCGACAAAGAAGATGGAGTACCTATGGGAGTAAATGAAGCAAAGTTGAGCGATGAGACAGGAATCGTTGCGAGGAACTATGCCCCCGTTAAAGTTCTTACATGGAATAAAATTCCCAGCAATGTGGAAAAACAAATGATTGCTTGTATCACGATAATGTCCTTCATATCTTTATCCGTATTCTCATACTTCGATATGAAAATAATATATAATACCCTGGAAAGTTAAATGCATATACATTATTGCTGAATTTAGACCAAGTTTGACATCAATGTCAAAGAGCCCCATGTACTCAAATGGTTGAAGTACATAATGTCTAAGAGATTCAACAGCTTCATGAGTGCCCTGCACAAGAAATTCAAAGCATATGCTATTAAGGACGAAGCATTACAGAATAGACCTAAAAAAATTAAAGATCCAGATGATTGGATATGTCTTTGTGACCTTTTTTCTAGTGAAAACTTTCAAGTAAGCTCAACATCCCTTTTTATGTTCTTATGTATTGCATTTTAATAGTAAATTTTGTGGTGTTAGGCACGGTCAAAAACTTATTCTGAGAATCGGTCGAAGTTAAGGTGTAACCATCGTGGTGGTTCCAAGAACTTTATTCAAAATAAAAAGGAAAAGGCATTTAAAATTATTCACCTATACAAATATACAACTTTGTTTTCCCATTTACTAATTTAATTTCAATTTATGGTCAATGACATTATAAACTGTTAAGGCAAAGCAAATTGGGGAATCTATCGGTCCTATACAATTATTTCATGACACTCGTTGGAGCGTCGAGAAAGGGTGGGTTAATGAACAAGCAAGGGAGCTATATGTAAGTTCATCAACTTTGAATTATCGAAGTAAGGTTGCTTCTGTTATATGTTATGTGTTGTGATGAGGAGCAGTGACGAGGAGTAGCTCTTTCCTAAACATAAATATGCTTCTGCTTTGTGTTATATGTTGTGATGAGGAGTATCTATTTTAAAATGAAAATACATGTTCCGTGTTGTGTCCCTCCCCTTTTCCAATTTACTTTTGTGTACTACACTATTTGAAAGTTTTTTTATTAGTTGTTTTCCCATTGTCCATCTACACAAAACTATGGGCATACACTTGTGTGTAATGCACGACACATGTGGATGGTTTAATAGTTTATATGTAAATCAATCACATATAATATGTAGAGGAGTAATTATTGTATGCATTCAATAAATGGTCTTAAATGTAATTATAATTTATCTGTAATTATTTAGTTTCTTGCTAAACTTATTGATTATGCATGGAATTGATGGTAGGAGAAAATGATTGAGATGCAAGATGAAACCCAGGCTAGGGAAAGTGAAAGAACTGAAGCTGAAATCTGTGAGGAAGTGCTTGGTAAAACTTTCGGCTTCAACCAAAATTTTGCATTTTGTGTGACTCGGCAGCGTGATACATCAAAAGCAATAGAGTTAAGGCACACAGTTGAACAACACAATAGGATTACAAATTTAAAGGAGCGGCTCATACTGTTTGAACAATAGAAAGAGAAAATCAAAATGTATGAAGAACAACAAGTACGTATGTTAGAGATGCTAACTCACATGACTATAGTAGCTGCACAAGCGCAACCTGTTAGCGTTCCAACTCGACTGTCATCTCCATCTCCAATTGATGATGAGTCTTCCTCATCTGCTATAGTTGCTTCTAGAACCTCAATTGGTAACGTTTGAGATGCTAACATTGATGGTTAGTTTTTTGTTGTATGAATAGTACATATTTTGACATGGGGGTAGGATAATCTTTCTGGAACTTTTGGGATTGCTTGCACATATCCTTAAATGGTGTACATGGGGTGGGCATTTTGTTTGTTGGAGTTATGCATATATAGATAGGTACTGATGAAAATGTGGGGTGCATGCTTTCTCTTTTGGTTATGCACACATGATAGTGCATTTTGTATTTTTATTGGTCATTATGCACAAAAATCCATATATGGACTGTTAATTTTATATGCAATGAAGATATTTGATGTTATTGATCCAGATTTTTATACTGTGTCACTCTTATTTTGTTGATATTGAATGTATAAACCAGGTCAATTACAAAAAGCAAAAATAATGCTCTTAAATGTTAACCAATTAGCGACTAAAGTATTAGTTGTAGAAATAATAGACCATCCAGGACTAATAAATAATAACTGACTAAAATAATTAGTTTCCAAAACTCATATACAATCAATTACTATATTATTTAGTTGCAAAAAATTAATTCTAATAAATAAATCATTAGTTATGAAATGTAAGAAACCAAATTAAGCATACACATTGGCTAATTAAAAATGAAATGCTTTTACCACTAATTTTTTCTCATAAAAACACACATTCTGCAACTAATTTCATAGTAGCAGAAAATAATTTACTAGATTTGGGTCAACATTCAACATCTAAAATTATTAGAATTTACTAATAATTTTTTGTTCACTAAAAGATATATTCTTTAACTAATAGAATAGTTACGAAACACTTTTACCAAATTACCTTGACACATTCAGCGTTTAAATTTTTTGGAATTTACCACTAATTTTTTTCTCACTAAAAAATACATTATTCAATTAATTGAATAGTTGCGATGCACTTTTACCAAATTACCCTTACACTTTAGCGTCTAATTTTGAGGACTATTTCAAGTAACAATTAGTAACTAAATTGTTAGTTGCTAAAAAAAAAATTCATTGTCTAACCTAATATTTAGTTGCCCATTTTTTCTGGGACAACGATTCTGCAATTACATGTCAACTACGTAAATTTAGACGTGCAATATAATCAACATCTAAACTAGACGATTTGCGTCTAATTTTGCTAGAGGTCAATTGCCATTTCTCTTGTAGAGCGTTCGTGAAAAGTCCCCAGCCAACCCAACCATCTCCTTGCGTGTCGTGGCTCTTTTCTGCGTGCACATTGCAGTGTGCAATTTTGACCGCCACCTGTTTGCTTTTTCACCCCAACAAGCTCCCTACGTGTTGGAATCGCACCTGGCCGGGTGCAATTCCAGCCAGATAAGATTTCAATGAGGAAAGGGTAATTTTGTCTTTATAGTTACTGCCATGTCAGATAACATATTTTACTAATAGGTATTAACGGTGAGTGGGTAGTTGTCATTTTGAAACTTTTTAGGTATGATATTGTCTTCGCGGGAAACTTTGGGTGGGAGCGTGTCGTTCGGCCTATCTTAAAAGTGCGCCATGTAGAAGAGCGAAGAATAGACTGGAAACGCAATTTTATAATAAAACTTCCCTTGGTAGAAACAGGGAAGACTCATTGAATTGTGATCACATTGCGGCATCCTCTGGATCTGTAGATTTAAAGTAAAGATTCGATTGAATTACAGTAATGGAGGAGCTGAGGTCAGCAATGGAAGCCCACATGGACCAGATGGCAGATCTTGTCCAGAAACTCTCGGCGGAGCTCCGCTCTGGACTTCAACCCGCTTACGAAAACTTCATGGGTTTCTTCCACGCTATCAACTGGAAGGTAAATTTCAAATCTTTAAGCTCAAAATGAGAAAAAAGAATTTTTTTTTTTTTTTTTGAATTGAGTAATGGGATATATAAAGCTAACTAGTTCTAGCTGCAACTGATTCTTCTGCATTTGCTTAATGGTATGTGCTTTTTAGGAGAGACAAAGAGATTATCATTCATTGAAAAGAATAAAGGTGTAACTTTGATGATATTATTGTGTCATTCTGTGAATAAAGTGTATTGATATAATTAAATTTTTTATTTTTTAATGTTCTTTTGTGTGGTAACCACCTCTAAAATATTTGTAAAAGAATGAAGGAGATGGCTTTAGAAAGTAGATTTCAACTAGAGATTCAAAAATGGATCTATAGAATGAACCTTATTAGGATATTTTGTTATGGTTTTTATCCAACTTCTAATGTTTGATTTTTTTTGGTTGATATTGGCAGGAGCCTTGGTTGATGGGCTTAATGGCATTTCATGTTCTGTTGCTGATAGCAGTCATATTCTCAAGGAAGAACGTCAATTTCCAAATGTGTTTATTCCTTATGGCATGTAAGTCTAATTTGCGTATGGTAGTGTCATCTTTAAGTGCAGTGCTATCGAATTTTTATCATGCAGTGTGTTTAGGGACTTTGTTCATATGTTCATTATACCATGCTAAAGTCGGGATTGTGAAGCCAAAAGGCCAAACTTAAGAGAGGAAATTTTTACTGATGTAGTTAGGGAGAAAGAACATTGAATATTGTCAGAATTCTGAGCTGAAGAATGTTCATTTTGCTTAAAGACCAAAGAAAACTTGTATATCTAAATTTGCATCCTGTTGAACTTCATATCGAAGAAAAGGTATTTGTCCTTTGCCCATCATGCTGGACCCTGCCCTTGTTTTTTAATTTTCCAATGCAAATTGTTCTTTAATTTTCCAATGCAAATTGTTCTTTAATTTTCCAATGCAAAGAAACACAGCCATGATATCTTTGCTAAAAATTCAATGGTTCGTTCTTCGATCGATGTCAATTCTAAGTTTTTATCCACCTTCTTAAGTTCCTCGGAATAGTCTCTCTTTTAGAAACAAATTTCTTAGGAATTTCCTGGTAGGGTTCCTATTCATAATTTTAATCCTCCTTCGTGTTCTCAATTGATTGTCAGTGATGTATCTTAACTACTATCAACTGATTTCTGCTTCACTAAATCTTAAGTAATCACTTATCATGTTTCTACTGCTGCTCCATCAGATATTAATTATGGTTATTGAAGACTTTGCTGAGTAATTTCCATTTTTTTTTATCTCCTTAAGAATTCTAAAAAACTTGTTTATTCTTGGTGGTTTGCACTATTGTCATTCATGAGCCTTTTATCTCTCAAAAGAGCTAATTGGCATGATGAGTTCTCCCTTATTGTGTACTGACTCTGACTTAGACATAGTTTTTTCCCTACTGTGTATGGATAGTGAATTTGTCTTGCTGTGGTTTCCTGAAGTTCATGTTTGGGTCTTCTAGGCCCTTCTGTGAAGTTACATAGCATACCCTGATGTGGCCAAATTGATTTTCAGAAGACTTGGATTTTGGAAGAGCAAGACACTAGACAATGCTAATGCATATAAGTCAGATCTTCAAATACTTTATCAAATTTCATTGAGATGACTTCCACATTTAGGATGACCAAAATCTAATCTGCAGATGGTATCTCTATTCTAGATCTTCTTGCCAACAGATTTTATACTTTAGTAGGCATGCAGACAGTTAGTATACTTCACCTGTTTACATATGTTGTTTTTAGGCCATGTATTATCCTATGTTGGGGAAATTCTGATTATCAATCCCCAAACATCACCTTCTTTTCCTCAACACCTACATAGAAATGCAAGTGTTCCTTTTTGGCCTGTATAATTATTTATGGAGAGTGGGTGAAAGTCAAGTAAATCAAGCTGATGAGTGAAAACTATTGACATCTTTTTCAAATTTGATGGCCAACTAAAATCTGAATGCTCATGTACACACGTGGTAGGCTTTATTATATCCACTTAAATCTGAACATGTATCGTAAAATTTGTTGCTTATAATGCTTTTAGTTTATAATATATATTTTTTTATGCAATATTTTGTTGTAGTGGCTGGTGTGTATTTTGCTGAATATCTCAATCGAATCCTTGACAAGAACTGGAGGAGCTTTGCCACTCAAAACTATTTTGATCCACATGGTGTTTTTCTCTCAGTTCTCTGGTCTGGACCTCTTCTTGTCATTGCAATCATTATATTGGTCAGTATAGCAACTACATTATCTATTCTTGTTTTCTTTTTCTTTTTCATGCTTCCCAACTTCAAGTAGTTTCTGTATTTGGCTAAACATTTCTCTTCAAAATTTCCTTTCCCAGGTAAACACCCTCTTCTCCTTATGTTACCTGATCGTTAGATGGAAGAAAGCTGAGCTCAGACACCGTGCAAGAGTTTCTCGTAACAAGCAGGATTAATAATCATTGCTATGCATCATTCCCGGGTTAAGCACTATAGTATTTTTTGTCACTTTCATCTTTAAAGTTGCTTCTTCCCCTCAGATAGAATCACAATTATATGCTGGTAGATTTACAGTTTTCTCTTTCCTTTTCTTCCCCCAACTCATCAATGGTGTGAATCATCCCTTGAGCAAGCTGCTGTACTCTTGAGCTTTATATAATCATCCTTCAAACCTTGCTTGCGCCCTTGATTGCAAAAAGAAATCGATGTATTGAACACTGGCTGATGAAATGTAACACTGAGAACTAGATTTCTTTATAATTGGGCAATGTACCATGATTTTGAGTAAAATTTTCTGCAACTGATAATTCTTTGTAGTTTGGGGTGTGACAACCCTGTCTTTCTTTCATAAATACATTGGATTTCTTGCAATGGTGTTGATGATTATTTTATATTTTGTCTTCTGTATTGCTTCAAACATTTCTACATGATTCCAGGAAAAATAAAAATAAAAAGTGATAGCAAATTTGGGGATGTAAGAAAACCCAGTATAGGCATAATTTATACCTGGGCCTGGAAATTCAGGCCCAGGAATACCATGGCCGGGCCAGGTGAGATTTTAAATATTATAGGGAACCCCCTAAAAAATACAATAACCCCCTAAATTGTGATAGATTTGTCAATCATTAAGGCCACATTTTGTGATGATTGTATTATACAGTATAAATATTTTATTGTACAATATCGTGTTATGTTGTATTAGATAATATATTATACAATAGTATATTGCATATAATAGGGTATTTGATGTATCATTATATTGTATTAACTTATATTTATTCATTTCTTTGAAACTTTATAAAAGCAGTTAAAAATTTAAAAACTTTCTTGCTTGGACCTTAATATGGAAGAACCATATATGTAGTTATTTTCACTTGTATTCTTAACTGAAACTTGTGAAAAAAATAAAATAAAAAATATTTGAATAAATAAGACGCATGGCTACTTCTTTCTAATAATTATTATAAATTTCATCGTACAAAAAGCAATAGACAGAAATTTAGTGAAGAATTATTTTTAACAATACAAGTATGTTCTTTATTTATTAATGGATGTCAAAAAACTAATAGCAATTTCATAAGAAAAATTATATATTTTTTTATTTATTTAATAGGTTCTAAAAAATCACACAAGTACTATTTATGGTGAGGAATAAATTTCTTATTGCAATAATAAGAAATTCAAATGAAAATTGCTATTTCATTATTATTCAATTCAAAATGCATGAATCAACATGTCTCTCATAATTCATATGATTCTTTACTTTAAAAAAAAAAAAAAAAAAATTCGCCAATGTTTTTATAAGTTGATATTACAGAGACATGCAAGAAATCAATTACAAAATTAATCTTCGAGCTTTTTTTGAGCAAGTTTTGTAATTATAGAGAAAAGAAATATTGTCAAAAGCTTATAAAATTAGCATAAAATTAAGATATGGGAGAAAATTAAATATTTGAATATATAACAGAAAATAAAATTTAACTATTAGAAGCGATAATAACTTCCAGTTGAATAAAAACATGAAACTTTAAGCATTCACCAACGTCCAACAGTAAGAAGCCCTCATACATATATTGATGAGGGGGAGAAATCGTTATACATACAATTTACTAATGTAATTATTACATGTATAATATTAGGATTTTAAAATAATAAATATTTAAGACTATTTTGTTATTATTGTGTTGTTTTTTATTAGATTTGAGAGAGTTGTTTATAACAATATATATTATAACCTTTATATAATGATATTCTATATAGATATAACCTTCATGTAGTTATAAAAAAATTTAGTCTATACTTTGGCAAGTTATAAATAAGAATAAACTTCATATTTTAATAAGTTATGATTTTTTTAGATCCCATCTTAAGGAGTCTGCCTCCACATAGTAATAATTATCTATATATTGTAAAAAATATATGTTATGTTACATTAAAAGTTTAAGATAAAATAAAATATTTATTTAAAATTGTTTAAGTCAATAATTTATGCTTTAGAGTTGTTACCACATCTTTGAATTTGTAAATACATAATCAATGTTTTAATAACCAACCTGGGATGAAACCTGGCAAAGTTGTTTGGTCTTGGGTTGACTGGTTCAATCACCGGTCAAACCAAGTGTCCAAAAGTTCAAAATTCAACAAATACACCCTTAAAAATTACAGTTAAGTCCCTACAGGTTTGAAATTTAACAAACACACCATAAATACAAATTGGCGGTTGATTGGTTGGCGGCAACGACACACCAAATGCAATCCCAATCATTCGCTGAGCCATTTCCCAGAAAATCTACCCAAGATCTAGTCGAAATTAATTCGATTTTGGCCAAATCTCACCACTGTCGGCGTTAACAACCCAGGCCAGATCTCACCAACATCGGCACTGACAACACTCCCTATCACCATGAAAATACTCTCCTCGGCCTCTTGACCAAAACTCATTTCACCCCACCCCCATTTGCCTTGCCAAACATCGGCAAAAGCTGGATGTTGCTGTCGTGGGTTTTTTTCGATTTTCGGTCAATTCACTCACCAGAAATCACCTCTATCACCACCATTTCCCTCACCGACCCTTCCTCATCAAAATCCCCAACATCACACCCTTCAATTGTTGGCCAACCACCATCCCAATTTCTAGGGTTTTCGGTGAATAGGAAAATTGGTAACCTAGCTCGATGAAGGCCGCAGGTCTCGGTTGAATTAGCTGGGTTGGGCCGGATTTTAAAATAATTTACTTAATAACTCACCAGCATGGACACATTTTTGTTGAAGCCAAAATATTTTTAGGTTCTCAAGCATGTTTATAGTTTCTTGGCATGAAACTTTTTGTATTTTCATATTATCGTCCTCATGATTATCTCCTTCCTCTTTTTGTCTAATGGCAGCAATGATTTCTTTTTCAATTAACGCATGCACGACTTGTTGCTCATTTTGATGATTGAAAAAGATATTAATATTGATCCGATTAGTGCATACTTTCCCTCTATACCACTTGCACTAAGGATAACCAACTTTATTAAGTTATAACCTCTTCATAGTAATAAAATTGTTTGATCCCACTATTATGATCATAGAGAGATTCTACTGTGTATTCATTATTGTGATAAAAGCTGCTATTATGTGATTTTAATTGTTTTTAGACTGTTATTTGTTAAAAGCAATTGAAACTTTAATTGCTTTTGGACTGTTATGTGCAATTGATATTGAATATTGCTTTTTTGTTGGACTGTTACGTATTAAAGGCAATTGAATTGTTCCAAGTTATTGCAATTCAAATGGGCAGTTATGATTTTAAAAGCAATTGATTGACTTCGGTTACAGCAAGGGAAACGGGCAGAATTTCAAGTATAAAAAGGGGGTGGTTTTCTCATTTGAAAGACACAACTTTTCACTTGAAAAATCTTTGTTTCTCTGTGTTTTTTAACTTTCCAGCTCTCCTTCACCACTGTTATTTTTCTTATATTATTCTAAATCTCTATTAGAGTGTGCACTCTAAAAAGAGATTTGTTATTGTATCCTGGAGGTCAATCCGCTGTTGAGCCTTTTTGCACCACGAAGATTCTTCCAATAGGGGCGGAATTCTGATCTTAAGGATAGTGCTTTTGCACGCCTTGACGCTGCTGTCTTGCTACTATTTTGCTGCTGTGTTCGTTGCTGTTTCACTGCTGTATTGGTGCTGTCTCCCTGCTGTTCTTACTGCTGTCCTCTTACTGTTTTCCTGCTGTTTCACTGCTATTCTTTTGCTGTTTTGCTGCTGCCTGCTGGTTTTCCTGCGGTTAACTTGATATTTTCCTGCTGTTCTTCTGCTGTTTCGTTACTGTTCTTTCACTGGTTTGCTGCTGCTGTTTTGCTGCCAATTTTTATTATTAAAATCCAACAATTTTCAATAATAAATTTTGTTTAGAAGTTCAGTTAGTATGTATTTCTAAGCTTATAATTGCCTAATGCCAAACATGTCAGCAATCTAAATGTAATTATTCCTTAGAGATAATGCTAGTTGATTTTTTTAACTTAAAAATTATATTAAGTATTTATTAATAAGGATAATTGGAAAAGAAAAAAATGACTTTGCCTAAGATTGTGGGTTGACATCTTTTAATTTAAATCGGGATATATTCATCAATATTCAAGGCGCGATTGGTCATAATAAATGCATACAATCCTCTTCAAAATATAATCGGTTGTTTGGTATCATTATACGTTCTTAATTTTTATTTATTTTTCAATTAATTTATTTAAAATCTTAATGTTTATTCTTTGACTTAAAATTCAAATCAATTATTAAGAAATTACAAAAAGTTATTAGCAATTGTTGGATTTCAGCATCAAATTTTTTTTTTTTTTTTTTCAACAAATGAGATGAAACTAAAATCCCACAAATCAGATTATTCTATTATGAAAATTCAATTAAAAGACTCACCTATGAGTAGCTCTTAGCCTAGTTGTAAGGATGAACCAAGCGGATTATGTATAGCTTCAACCCACAGTCTCAAGTTTGATTCTCTATTGAACATAAAAAAGAGAAAAAAGATTAATGAAAATGACTTAAAAGAAAGAACAGTTATAATTTTCAGTTTGTTATTTAATGTATTTTGAAACGGCATAGGGTGAGTGTTTTGTTTCAATGGTGAAAGAAGGATACTTATCCACCAATAAGAATTAAATGGTGAAAATGCAATCACACCTATATCATTACATTTTCAGATATATAACGTAATAACGTTAGGCTAGTCAATATAAGGATGACAAATTGGTGGATTGTGATGGCTTAAAACATTAACCAATTCAATGCATAAAAATTTTGCCTAATCCATTTCAACCCATTATTTAAAATATGGGAAGGGGTTGAATTGGGATAGGTTGAGTATCAGGTTATCCATTCTCATTTTTTTCAATATAAATTATATCAATAACTTTACATTTAAACAATTAAAAAGAAAAATGTTCTTTCGGCCATTGTCGTTGGAGTATGTTTATAAGGGGTCCAAGGAGACTGGATAGACTTGTGATGACTTACTAGACTCATCCTCAAATATTTCACATGAATGTATTCGAATTTTCACAATATTTCTAATACATGACAAGAAACTGTCAATACTCCTTACTGCAATTTGCTTTGCCATTTGGACTTGCTACCTGCCTTAGCACAATTATTCATCAGAAATGGGGCCAACTCTTAAATCGTTGATGTGTTGTTGCATCCACCACGCTCACCAAAGCTTTATATCTTAAGAATGATAATCGATTCAAATCACCACACTGCATAAATGTGAAAATAGTAACCATATTCTTTTAACACGAAAAATCTTCGGATTTGCTTCCATTCATGCGTGTTAAATAATTGGATGAATGGAGA